GAGTTGTAATTAAATGCCGGCACCTCTTGGCCCCCTTATCGGAAAGAAGGATCGCGGCTCATACGGGGGCCCGTGTAACGACGAAAGACACGGATCGATGCTCTCGGTCTTTACCTCCTCCGTTCTTTTTTTTCGTCGCGGATCCTCTCACGAAGCCGATCCAGGTGAAGGAAGACGGGTTGCGGGGATCCTATCGGGATCGCGCGCGAAATTGCCGCGGAAAGTGTGCGGGCACAATGATTATTCGAAATGTAAACACAGCGACGGTCACAATACCCTGGCAAAAATATCAGCCAAAGGTAACGCGTGTATCGGTTTTATAGAATTGTCGCTGCCGATGCTATCTACGTTCAACGTTAATCGCGCGAAGCGTCCCCGTCGACGCGATTATCTCGCGACAATGGACAATGAAACTGCTCGTTAAACGTTGCATTTGAATATACAGGCTGCACTGTAAACACTGTGCGCATCCCGCTGTTGTGACGCCCTTTCTCCAGCCCTTTTTCTTCCGATGCAAAAAGCATCGCATGAAAGATTCTTCCTGGATTTATCTATGGCGGAGAAAAGTCCTGTAAGAACGCAGTAATAGTGTTTGCGAAGTTGAAGCTGGAAACTTGGAATTTACACCAGAAGTTATGTCTTTGGTCGTTTAGCAGCCTGCGGGTCCTAGTAAAATTTTCATCGAGAAGTTGATCGAAGATAGTTCATCGAGCAGGCCAAGAGAAGTTTGGCAGAGGATCGTGACAAAACCCTTCGCGATGGAAGTTAGCCGACAATACGATTCGAGTGAAAGGAAGATCTCGAGCCGAGGAAACACTCTGGATCCCGAAGGTTGCAATTTTGTCGCGATCCTGCGGCCCTGGAGGCCGGCTCATTACGCCGCGCAGCGCCGCTGTTAAGTATTTGCCCTCCCATCGGCGGAATGTGTAATTACTCGAATCGAAATTACAGTCGGGAGATTCCGGGCGAGCAATCGTAAATAATCCGTGGCTCCCGAGGAACGTCGTTCATTTTTCATGGATCGAGAGGGAACGGGATCGGGCGAGTATTCGCGATGGCACAAGTGAATGCCGGGAGAGAAATCCACACGGCAAGGACACCGCTTCGGCGCGAGGGACGAAGGGTGGAGGAGTGGAAAAGGGAGCAAGACGGAGAGAGAGATAGAGAGAGAGAGAGAGAGTGGGAGAGGAAGAGAGAGAAAGAGAGAGGAGTCGAACCACGCCCGGCTCATCCCGACTTTCTAGAAACCGAAAACTGGATCGTGGATCTCGGCCGATCTCGAGCGACGTCGCTCGGTCCGGCTTGATTCACGTAACAGATGTCAGTCCGCGCGAGAGGATCGTGCTCCGCCTTTCCTTCTTCTTATTTCGCCCGTCGTTCCACGGAACCAGCTACCGTTTCCCGAGGACATTACTCACGAAGTCGCGCGGAGAAACTCCACCTTTCGGGAGATAAACTCACGCTGCTCTGCCCGGAGAGTCGGCCTCCCTTCCTCTTTCTCTCTCTCTCTTTCTCTCTCACTCTATCTCTTTCTCTTCTTCTTTCTCTTTCTCTTTCTCCGAGCTCCTTGTTCGAGGGAAACGAAATTCCGAGAAGCGAACCGTTTCGCGATTAAGTTACCGGAAATCTGCGAAGGGAACGGCGTCGGCAGCTCGTTAAGCCGCGCGACTATTCGAACCTGCGACGGAAAATATCGTCGGGCCCGCTTTAGATCCTGCTTTCTGAAGTGGACGCGTTACGTCGCGACGCGGCGGCTGCCCTGCTCGCGAAAAATCTGATTAACGCACGCGAGTTTCTCCGCCTTGCGAGCGGCTATCGAACGGGAACAGGGGAAAGTACGATATGCAAATCGAACCCGATCGGCCCTGTCTAGACGGATGACACGCTGTCTAGCGCTTTCTTCGGCTCGTTCCCCTAGAAAAAGGAAAAACAACGATGCACCGGCAAGCTCCCTTCTTTGGTAAAGCTGATCCTCATGATAAACGACAGAGACGTCGAGGCAAAATAGACTGTCGGCGATCCAAGCGTAAGAGAGCAGTCTCATCGAGTTTCTATGTTAACATTTTCCGTATCCCTGTTATTAATATCGTCAACGCAAAAATAGTCCACGTGAAATAGCTACGTCGATGGACACATAATTATGCTCGATCGGGCACTTTTTGCCAGCGTTGCAAGTCGTTATTGAACCAGTTCGAGAACGGACGACATCCGTTTCCACGGCGAGAGGCGGTCTACCACGGGTTTTTACGGTTAACGACTTGTAAACGTAGCCGTTGAACCGTTCCGGATCATCGGCCGTACGGGACTGGGCTTTTTGAAACGGTCCGTACACTTTCGATTCAAGCCAGGTACCGCCTAACCCGGCCCGTCTTCACATTCTCCGGCAATTAACGCTTTTCACTATTGTCGGAGCTTCTCGGTTTTGCTCCTTTTACGCTCGAACGAGGTTCTTGCCGTCCCGGCGAAGCGACGCTGCTCGGCTACGTCGTCGCCGAGCGGATTTCTCTTTCGTCGGAACCGGACGACCGGCAACTCCTCTAGATTAGCTTCTTCGGCAACTGGATCGTGCCGGCGTGGAACGGCACCGGCTGCGACACCATCCTTCGATTTCTCGGATCGTCCATGGCTTCCTTTATCTAGAACCAACGAGACATCGCGCAGAAGCCGCGCGCTTTCGCAATCCGCGCGAAAACGACGACACGCGGCGCGCGACACGAACAACACGTCGGAGACTTCGACGCTCGCGCAAGCGGTGCGCACGGTGATTTCAACGCCCGATAAGGCGAGACGCGCCGCACGCGACGCTCCGATCTGGATTTTCGGCGACAAGATGGCGCGTTTGCGCTTGGATGGTTTTGCAGCAGCTGTTCTCTATTGTGCGGCAGTCCTTTCGAGCTTCTGATTTTTACGCTGTGATTCACAAAATTTTGTCTCGCGTCAATATCGTTTACTCTTTACTTCCATTCCGGCAGTTTTCTAGGTGACATGATTGCGACTTTGCTAAATAGTTTAGGAATGTCGAAATTATAGAACGAAGAAACACTTTTTTACTCATATCGGTTTAGATAATTTATATTTCGCATAAAAGTTCGGGCAACGAATGCGTCGTCGATAAAAAGTTCGAGATGAAACTCGCGATTTCACCTTTACGAAATTGTTCCGAGTTTGTGCCGACGAAACGATGTCCAATTGGTAGCCTCCACAGCCGAACGGCTGACAACTGGAGCAAGCTATGGGCTTGCGAAATCCGTGACGGAGCGAAGGCCTTTCACGCGGATGTACGTCTAAGGGCGTCCGCTCCGGATGGACCAGTTTCGATGCGCTGTCCCTGAAAATTATGCAAACGAATCTGGCCAAGGCTCGCGTCGCCTTTCGCAAGACCGGCAGGCCGTGGTCGAGTGATGTATGGTTCATTGATGAAGTTAGATAGCACGTGCCGGCAGATAGGTTCGATCGGTAGCGCGTGATATATCGGCGCTGTCGTTGCGTGTCAGTGGCCCCTCGAGCCTCTTCTATTCGCAGTTTCTCTTTCGAAAACAGCAACCAAGAAAGAAGCGGGAGACTTCCTCGCTCCGTTTTAAGTAATAGACGCGTCACTCCGCCTTGACAACCACTGGCGTTACACGCTCGCCACGTGTCCGGCACCGACGGTTGTTTTCGGTATATCGGCCGATCTGACGTCGCCGGAGAAAAATGCGAGCACTGTCCGAGAGGCGGGCCGATCGGTTTCCATGCCCCTTCGAAAATCGGATCGTCGCCCCCGGCGAAACGAGCAATTTATCAGCCTGCGGTTGACGCCTATCGTGCTGCTCTCGGATTTAAACTAGCCGGCTGACTGGTCAGCCCGAAAGCAGATCCTTTCACTAATGTTTCCAAATCGTCGCCCGTCTGCCAAACGATCCCCGCGCGATTGTTATCGGGACAAAGACAGGATTAACGCGTCGCACGATTCTGATTCACGGCAGCCTGCCGCCGGGCTTGCCTCGCCGCGATCATTCAATCCGACAAAAAACCCGCTCGTATATATAATTATCGCGCGGCCTCGCTGCTCTCCGATACAGATTCTTCAATGAATTCGCGATCTCGAAACTCCAGCTAGGAATTAGATCACTGGAGAAATGAGGAGCGAGCGCGGTCATCTTTTTCTTTAAACAATCTACCTTTCTGGATTGAATTGATGTTGTTCTGAGTTAGGTCCACCTGATAGATCAGATACCTAGATTTTTAGAAAGTTGATTTAGGATAATCTTCGAGAAAATTGGCGCGTTCAAGGTACACCCTCGTCCATAAGTATGGGGCACTTCCTTGATTAAGACAAGAAAGTTGTGAAATCGTTAATGAATATAATTTATGATTTTTGGATTTACTTCGGACTATATTGCAGAATATATATTTTACCAATAATGTATTTAATAGTAGTGATAACAAAATAATAGTAATAACAAAAAGGCAATTAAATTCTCTTTTCGTCGATATACCCGTCCCTTGCTCTTAAAAATTCTTTTTCCAATTTTGGCATTCTAGCGAACAAATAATAAAATCACTCAATATAACGCTACTACTAACCATCACCGAATATATATATAAACATATATAATAAATATATATAAATAGAATTTGCCGGTAAGAATCGTTTTATAGCATTAATTCATACCGTATATCAATTATTCGTGAAACGCGATAAGTGTCCACACATTTCTGGACTAATGGAGATATGACATCGCTGCCTTTGAACACTGTTTAACACGTTCAAAGTGTGAAGACAATTTTGCTCGAGTTTCCGTTCAAGCGGAGCCTCGCTGCAGGGACTGACAGTGGACTTTTCATCGGTCGAAATCGGTGCGTGGGACTGGGAATGCGAAGGTTAAAAAATAAATGTACAAGAACGGCGCCCGAACAGAAAGTTCACTGTCAGTCCCCATGGACTGATGTCGCACATGGCGTGCAAACGAAAGTAACGGAAGTAAACTAACGCGATTGTGCGTGTGTTTGATCGACAGGTCACCGCGATCCGCCAGCAGGAGCCAGGACAAGGGTGACAGAGGCGGTGTGATGAGCGGATATCTCGGTAGCATCACCCTGCCCCCGACGTTGCTGCACGACCCGAAGTATCCTCCAGCCATGCGGGAGAAGGATTCGAGCCCGAGGAAGATGCCCGGCCATATCAGCCCCAAACAGGCCAGCATCTATCCGCTGAGCGTTCGCGTGCCGGACGTGGAAGAGCTGCCGTACGACCTGAGCCACGGCCACGGCCGGGGTCTCTCGAGCCCGACGAACCAGCAGCAGCACCACCATCATCAGCAGCAGCCGCACATGAGTCCTGCGGCCCGGCCACCGCAGCCGCACCACCAGGACGAGCTGGACTGCGAGCCGCTCGATCTTCGCGTGGATCACAAGAAGGAGAGGCTGCGGGACGAGAACCAGAACGAGATCGAGGTGCTGAACCAGAACAGCCTCGGCACCGGTCTGCCTTATCACACGGTACTGTTCCCTCAACACCACGCCGTTCATCCGCTAGTCCTGGAAGCCATGTACCGGTCCCACCACCACGGTTCACCGGTTCCGGACCTACCCAAGATCCAGGTCAGAGCGCTGCCCACCATGGTGCCTCTGCCGCCGAACAGATTCTCCTCGACGACCTCCTCCACGTCGTCCTCGTCCTCGCAAGCCGTCGCGAGGATACCCAGCCCCTCCGCGGTTCCGCCGCCGCAGCAGCAGCCGCCGCAGCAGCAGCAAAGCCACGCGAGCCAGCAACAGCAAAGCCACGCGAGTCAACAGCAGCAGCAGCAGCAACAGCAACAGCAGCAGACCGCCTCCGCTCTGCCGCCGTACTCCATCAGCGTGCAGGCCGGCTTGAAGCCGAAGGACAGATACTCGTGCAAGTTCTGCGGCAAAGTGTTCCCCAGATCGGCGAACCTGACGCGGCATCTCAGGACGCACACCGGCGAACAGCCATATAAATGCAAGTACTGCGAGAGATCGTTCAGCATCTCGAGCAACCTGCAGCGCCACGTCCGGAACATCCACAACAAAGAGAAGCCGTTCAAGTGCCCGCTATGCGAACGGTGTTTCGGCCAGCAGACCAATCTCGACCGGCACCTCAAGAAACACGACGCCGACGGGCCGACGATACTCGACGAGGTCCGCTCGAGGTACCACGGCCAGCTGCCCAGGGCGGACGAGTCCTACTTCGAGGAGATCCGCAGCTTCATGGGCAAGATCACCTCGCAGAGGCAGGGGATGCCTTACTTCCCGGGGCTGCTCGGTCACGGGGCCGACGACTTTAGAAGCGACAAGCAGCAGCTTCAAATGGAGGAGAAGCGAGGCGACTCCTCGTACTTCAGCGACAGGGACAATCTGAGCTCGAGGTCGAGCAGTACCGCAAGCAGGCCCGAGAGCGTCCAAGAAGAGCAGAGGGAAGTCAGTTCGCCGCCGTTGTCGCCCGGGAACAACACCTGAGCCGAGCCACCCGATCGTTTCGGGTTCGATTAGTCGATGAGGCCCTCTCTTTCTCTCTGACGGGAAGTCCGGGTCGCCGGGTCCTAGGATTAGTGTTAGGAAAAGTCTTTCAGAACGAGGAAACTGTGGCAACAGACTATTTGGCCGGCCGTCGAGTCTCCCGGGCTCGTCGTCGACCGGAAGAACCGTCGTGGACGTCGGTTCCGCGTGCCTGAAGCGTCCTCCGGCTCCGGCATGGAGGCGCGTTTAGTTTAAGTAGACGATAAAGTCGACCTAAGCACCAATCTTTCGCGGCCCTGGCTCGATAACTGTCGCAGAAGCGTGCGGGACAAGGTGGAATTCTCCGGACCGCTGGGAAGACATTCGTTGTACAAAGTAATTGGAATATGGAATGAATCTTCCGAACAACTCGGTATCAATTGGGATCCAATGGGAATAGTTTCTTTATACCGTAAATTTTCTCAAAATGTTCCTCAGCTTCTAAACGAAAATAGATCATTTCGGAAGAGGAGAGACGCGATTATTCGAGCCTCGCGGCTCGTTTTTACGGTCTCCGATTGTCAGAAACTGTAAAAAACGAGCAATTTTTGCTTATCAAAGCTGACGGAAAATTCCGAGAGGATTTACAGTATTTTAGAAATTCGCGAGTGAAATAGAATATAAAAGACAAAGGCCCCGATTCGAAGGTATCTGTCAGGCAGTTATCAAGACACCGCCGCAATTACTCGTAGCCCTTTGTTCGTTCGCGGAGCATAACAGATAGATCGGCCGGAAACGATTCGACTTTCGAGAGCGTCTAATGGTTCCCCGAACGGCTTCGATCTCGAGTTAATTCCTGCCGGTAAGAAAACGACACTTCTCGGCTTTACGATCTAGAAAGTGAATTTCAGCCGGGTGGAAATAAAACAGAAATCGCCAGGCGGATCCGCGCCATTTCCTCGGGGAACCCTGGGCGATTCGACGGCTCCGGGCACGAGCCATTAAACTTCCAGAGAAAATCGAGGGATCGGGGATCGAAAAAGGGAGACGAGCCTCTCGATGTTTCCGCGTGAAAGTCGACCGCGGCCCGTTGGAATTCGACACGGCCGAACCGTAATATATATGTATATGTATCGAGAAGGAGAAGCGGATTTCGTGGGAAAGCCGACGCGCGCCGCGCCGCGCCGCTCTGATCTACGCGGACATGGAAAACCGGCGCGCTTCCTGCCGACGATGATCAGCGAAAAGGAACAAACGAACCTCGGCGATCCCACACGCGCGCGGACGACGCTCTCCTACCCGCGGCCCGTTTCCCGCGGCCGGTCCCAGAAAACTATACCCGGGGCGAAAACGATCTAATCGCCTTCCGTTCTTGACTCTCTCGCGTCTCCGCCGGCGGATTCGCCGGCGCTTTCTAACCGATGGCCGATAGGTGCCTCGACCTTGGCGGCGACGCCGCGATCGATTATGCGAGATCCGGATCGAGCGCCGGACCGTCGCCGTCGGAACGGACGCCTCGACGCCTGTTCCGAGGAGGAGCTGCCAACGGAACGGTCGCTGCATCGGCTCCCGGCGCGATATTAGGTGGCAATTTATCGGTACTTTCTACCATGCACCGCCGCGACGTTCACCGCAAGTAGCGCAGGTGTGGAGGCTGCGCTCGCGCCGAGCGGATCCTCTTGACCTTGGTAAACGCGAGCGAGCGAGCGAGCGAAGGAGCGAGCGGCCGGAAACGCGGTCGAAGAAAGGTGTTGTTGCTTGCGCGCGGCCGAGACCGTCTTCGTTTTTCGAAGGGTGTGCGCACCGGCTGGCCAGGAAAATCGGATGAGCGATGATAGTCCCGGGAGTTCAGTGACGCGTGAGAAACGATTTGCGCTTTCTAGCTTGGAATGCCGGCGTTCCTCTAAATTACAGGAGACGCCGGTTTCGCGGTGCCCGGGCCCGCGTCCCTGATCGAGCACGCCCGAGATCGATCGGGGCCCGGCCGATATTTTTCGGTTTCCTTGTTTCTGACGCGCTGGGGTCGCGAGCGATTCGCGGTGAACGGCGGCCTCCTCGAAATCCATTTTAAGACCGATCGATTTCGAAAGGGAGATCGATGCAAGATCGATCGTGAACGCGAGGTGTGACTAAGCTTCGGGGCTTCGATCTCTCTCTCTCTCTCTCTCTCTCTGTCTTACACTCTGGCTCTCTTTATCCCTCTTTCTCTCTCTTTCTCTCTTTCTCTCTTTCCTCTGGGCGCAACGGTGAGGTCGAGAGAGGATGGCCAGGCCCTGTTTTTCTTGCTTCACGCATACGATCCCGTCCGACGATGGCCTCGGACCTCTCTTGCGTTACACTTCTGCCACGCCCCGATCGGACGGGCAAGCTCATCGCGAAAGTGAAACGCAATAAAGGAGCCACGCCGAGGCGAGAGAGCGATCTCGACAACCATGAAACGCTTAACAGAGAGATACGCCGCGGGAGAAGGAAAGATCGGACGTGTCCGCGACCGAGACGGAGAGAACAACGGCCGCGGGGGGGAACGGGGACACCAGCGAGTCGACCGATCCGAGACCTCGGAGCTTGGAAATCGGCTCCCCCGACCTCCTACGATCGCCAATTAGAGTTCCGGATTTTTTTACAAACGCGCCGTCAGCGCGAGCTTCGCGTCGGCTGCGCTGGCTCGCGACAGCCGTCCGCTACAGGCGATGGTAACACTAAATCTAGCATTTCGTTTTTTTTTTTTTTTAAATGACCGCTCTTACACCCTTCATTCTCATAATGTCGTATTACGAAGCCGTATCTTAAAAAACGATTGAATATATTCATTTGTTTAAGCTCACGTTATAATCACGACGGCGAGAAGTCTAAATAAATTCAGTATTGTCGTTCTCACAAAAGCAACAGTCGTTTGTCACTTCCAGAGCTTGGAAGGTTTAGTATGTTCATTAACACTAAATCTACCGAGCCGATCAAAATGAGTCGTTTCATATATTTGGTATAAAGAAGACATTTCAATCAAAATAGCGAATGGTCTAAATAAACACAGTTTTTTCCGTAAATACAGTTTTTCCTTATAAAAAAATACACAGTTAGGTCTCGGTTGGTTCAGTGTTAAACCAACATACTTGAAGTCACGCTCTTCGAAATTTAGTGCTTCTGTCGTCGTCAAGGATCGCGATCGAACTTTGTTCCTCAATTTCTGTCGAACGTGTATCAATAGCGCCATCCTCGCTTTCCTGATTGTTCTAGCTAGCATGAATCTTTTAAATTCGCTAATATAATTAAACCGATCCCTGCGAAGTCTCCTTGCACCGCATTCGAAATCAGAAAATCGACTTCTTGCTTCGAACCGATTCCACTGCAATGGACGCTTCTCTTCTCTCTCTCTCTTCTTTCTCTCTTTTTTCTCTCCCTCCTTCTTCATTTCTTCACCTAGAAGATTCTCTTTGCGAAATCTCGAGGGAAATCGGCAGGAATGCTCAAGAACGTTTACAGAATCGTCGCCGCGACGTCGAGCGTGTCGATACGATAACGATCGGCGTTGACGCACAATCGCCGCCGGTTTCCACGGCCCGGGATCCTCGTCTCGGCCAGTCGTTCCTCTCGCCAAGGAAAAGGAAAAAACCGGAGGAGCCGCGAAATTTCTCGGGAGGGAGGGACGAGGAGGGGCGAGCAGCTTATCCCGCGAAATCGCGCGTTCTCACGTCCGCGCGCGCTGCGCGTTTTTCGATCTCATCTCGTTCCAGTTTACACGCGTGATTTCACTGGTCGCCGGCTCGTGGACTGGCCGGGTCGATTCGAATTGCGACAGCCTGCTAGAACGAGAAAAGAAAGCGAACGCGCGGAGACGGGACGGGCACAGAAAACGGCCCCCGTCGACGATCGTTCGCCGGAAACGCTGCTCCTCTGCGGGAGCTGCGGTGCTGCGAGAGTAATCGTCGAACGGCATCATTCGGAAAAGACGCGTTGCAAACGGGCCGTCGGCGTCGTTCTTTCTGCGCATTTTCATTGCAGATTTCTTGGCAGACTTTTTCGCAGACTTTTCTTTTAGAGATAATGACACGCAAGATCTCTGGACTACGAATATACAAAATTAGTATCGGAAACCGTGCCATTAAATGAAAACACAGCGGTATACTTTCGATGCAATTACGGCTAGACCGCGGATTTGATGGATTTATAACAAAAATGAATAGATCAAATGCAAAATAGCCAAATAAATAATATTATTATCCTAATCGTCAGAGTGATTAAGAAAAGAAATAAATGTCTATGTAGTTTCTGTATCATTTAATTAATGAATACAATGTTTTCTTGCATAAAAATCCGCGGTCTAGTTGTGACTTTATTTTAAAGAACGTGCGAGGCACGTGTTTTCTGTACGACCGAACGATCCAATATAATCGAAGTACAGTCCCAGGCTAAAGTTACAAAGCGACGTTCTCTTTAGAATACAAATCTGTCTGATGAATCCATCAATTAGGATAGAAAATCGATGTTAGAACAGCGCTCGCTAGAAAAGCGTACAAGATTTTCATATAATTTGCACAGAAATCTCAGACCCGTTGCAACACGGAACAAGTCCGTTCGACAGCTGCAATCAGAGTCCGAGACCTCGAGTCCCAGAACGTAAGCTGGTTCGAATCGTCCTCGGCACCCCAGGCTCGCTCCACGGGTCGTCTACCATTTCCGAGCAGAAATCGGATCGTTTCTCTGCTTCGCTGTCCCGCTCGTTTGAACGCGAACTAGAGTGTAATCCTAACATAACGTAATTCGTAAAGTAATTCGAATCGAGGCTCAATTTAGTTAGTCGATGTCGCGCGAAGATAGTTCCATGCGTGTGATAGTTCCACACAGTTTCCTTGGGGAAGAAAAGGAAAGAGGGTGAACTGCGAGAGACCGCGAATCATTGAATTAGCCGACGCGTTCACGCGAAATGCAGCCGATTCCGCGAGCGATCGTGCGATCTTCATTGAAGAAAGTCCTTTGCGAGGCCGTCCTGCGTTGTCAGACGCGAAGCGGAATGGACACTGTGCGACAGACGATTGAGAGAAGAGAGCGTTCTGCCGCGAGAAGCAACGGTTCCAGCGAACGATATCGGATAAGGAAAAACATTGTACCGAGTGTGCGTGTGGTCTGGCTGCTCTCGATTTTCAAAGAAGCCAAGGCAGTGCTAATGTTCCATCTAGATCTCGCGTTCCTAAAAATCGATTAGGTCGGATCATAAACAACTTGCAGCTAGGTAGAATCTATTGTTCGTGTCTGGGTCACCGGATTGTCCCGTGAGGCACCGGGACAATCGAGTTTTTCCTTCCATTAAAAAGGTTAAAAAGGTTAAATAGGTTATCCATTAACGGTTCGATATAAATAAAAAGAAAAATAAACAAAAAAGGCAAATCAAAAGGATAACGGAAGCTAGACGGTAGCTTTTTTTCTGATGAAAAAACGGTAGCTACTTATGACTCGAGAGTCATTTATGGCCTTCATTTGCGACCTCCGAAGATCACAATAGCTTCCACAAAGCGACCAAGTAAATACCGCGGGGAACGAAATAATTTGTTTCGCTCCGAGCGTAGGAAAATTAACACTGAACCTACCGCGGTCAGAGTGACCGCTTTCTTATCTTGCAATTCTGCAAAGTTCCGAGGCTCTTTCGTGGAAAGCGCTTGAATAAGTTCTATTATTGGAGCAAGTTTTATAATAAAAACTTTACAAATTCTAAATAAATTCGGTGTTCTCACTTTTATGGAGCAGTACACGTCAGTTAGTATTACTGCTCGGTAGGTTTAGTGTTGAACATAGGAAAACGTCCACTGCACAGCGTCCGTTCCGAGGTAGCGTCGCGCGTCCGACGCCCCCGACCCCCTGCGAATTGATAGTCAGCCGCGTGCGAGATGTACCAAGCGCGAATTGCGGAGAATATCTTTTAATTTTGATATACAGTATATACGGATATATGTATACAAATGGATCTATATAGATATAATATATATACATATATATATATACACAGAATTATGTAAATTTTACCAATCAAGATTGTGATTTGACCGAGGTTACCGAGTTATACGTATTTACTGTTTAGCCACGAACGCGACGCGGCGCGCCGTGGGCCGACAAAGCTGTCCGAGCGCTCGTTACCTTTCCGAACCGCTAGATCGTAAGTTAGATCGTGCGACCGGGATCCACGAGCTCGCTGCCGGCAGGGCCGTTCGGCACGATAGTCAATGTAATCCTCTTCTTTCAGCCGATCGCCCTGAAATTAACACGTTCGGGAGCTTCCGTAGGGATCCGAAGCTCGGGAATGACTTCGGGACCTGTCCCGAACGTGTTAACGGCCGCGAGAGGTTTCCGTCGGGCCAGAAATCGGTCCCCGATAAACGGGGACGATGGATCGTCCGCCGTGGATCCTCGGCCTTTAGATCGCCTACGTTGGATCGTCCATCGTGGATNAAAAGAAAAATAAACAAAAAAGGCAAATCAAAAGGATAACGGAAGCTAGACGGTAGCTTTTTTTCTGATGAAAAAACGGTAGCTACTTATGACTCGAGAGTCATTTATGGCCTTCATTTGCGACCTCCGAAGATCACAATAGCTTCCACAAAGCGACCAAGTAAATACCGCGGGGAACGAAATAATTTGTTTCGCTCCGAGCGTAGGAAAATTAACACTGAACCTACCGCGGTCAGAGTGACCGCTTTCTTATCTTGCAATTCTGCAAAGTTCCGAGGCTCTTTCGTGGAAAGCGCTTGAATAAGTTCTATTATTGGAGCAAGTTTTATAATAAAAACTTTACAAATTCTAAATAAATTCGGTGTTCTCACTTTTATGGAGCAGTACACGTCAGTTAGTATTACTGCTCGGTAGGTTTAGTGTTGAACATAGGAAAACGTCCACTGCACAGCGTCCGTTCCGAGGTAGCGTCGCGCGTCCGACGCCCCCGACCCCCTGCGAATTGATAGTCAGCCGCGTGCGAGATGTACCAAGCGCGAATTGCGGAGAATATCTTTTAATTTTGATATACAGTATATACGGATATATGTATACAAATGGATCTATATAGATATAATATATATACATATATATATATACACAGAATTATGTAAATTTTACCAATCAAGATTGTGATTTGACCGAGGTTACCGAGTTATACGTATTTACTGTTTAGCCACGAACGCGACGCGGCGCGCCGTGGGCCGACAAAGCTGTCCGAGCGCTCGTTACCTTTCCGAACCGCTAGATCGTAAGTTAGATCGTGCGACCGGGATCCACGAGCTCGCTGCCGGCAGGGCCGTTCGGCACGATAGTCAATGTAATCCTCTTCTTTCAGCCGATCGCCCTGAAATTAACACGTTCGGGAGCTTCCGTAGGGATCCGAAGCTCGGGAATGACTTCGGGACCTGTCCCGAACGTGTTAACGGCCGCGAGAGGTTTCCGTCGGGCCAGAAATCGGTCCCCGATAAACGGGGACGATGGATCGTCCGCCGTGGATCCTCGGCCTTTAGATCGCCTACGTTGGATCGTCCATCGTGGATCGGGCACGCTTCGGGCCGTCCTAAAAGCTCCCGTCCGCTTCGCGAAGATCGAAATCCCACACGAAGTCGAGCTTTCAGGACGAGCCGATGCAACGTCTATCGAACGATCGATCGTTCCATTATCGATCGATTCCTACCTTTCGCGCCCAACAAACGCTGTTTAGCCCCGCATCCGGGCGTCCCGTAGCATAGTGGTGAGTGTATATATGTTCATATGTAATATTCGAATAAAGAAAACTATATATACATATATACATACATATATGTATAGATCTATGTATATGTATAGGATGTATGTATATGTATAAATATATGTACACGCAACGTACACGTAGAAGATACATTTCAAAGGAACTTTCGTCTCGTGCTTGCGTTTACTTTCTCCGCCCCCTTCCACGCACCTCGCCCGAGAGCCTTTCATTAAACTCCCCCATTTATGCGTCGCCCCGTTTCAGCTCCAACGTCCTCTGCGTTTCCTGCACTCGATTTGCTTCTTTCGGTACGTTCGATTTCATCCGGAGGAAAGCATCCACGAACTGTCCAACGGAGAGGAGACGCGTTGCTAGTACGTAAAAGCGAACGCGCGCCAAATTACAATCTATTTTCCACGCTTGAAAGAACACTCGCCTTTTCGACTGCCGGCGATCAACCCTGTGTTCTACATTTAACCCTCAAAGTTTAGACCGCTCGCTGTTTAGACCGTTTAGGCTTTATATTTAGACAGAATTGTTTTAGGGAAAATAAAAGACTGATATATCTTCGAACACGATCAAATATGTCCACCTGCTGTGAGATCGCAATCATTTACTGGGATCACGTCGTATTCGGATGACAAAGCAGCAACAGCGTCGGGATTGTGAATATAAGTATTACAAATATTACAAAATAGACAATTATTAGAAATCTACCCCGCGAAAGTGCTCGAGGGTTGTAACAACTGCAGAGGTCAGCATCGATTAGGCGAATATTACGCGGTCCATTTACAGTAAATTTTTATCCTAATTTTTCTTCAGCTTTTAACACTAGATTTACAGAACCCGTCAAAATGACGGGTCACTAATTTTTTAATTACGTAAAGATATAGTTATGAGTTATTTATTCAATTTATACGTTACTTACGGCAAATGTTACAATAACACTTATTAAAAATTAGAATGAATGTCTTATTGTTACTTTTATATAAACTAATATGAAACAGCTGTTTTTTTGCGCTCCGTAAATCTAGTGTCAAACAAAAATTGACAATCTTGGAAGAGGAGATACGATTATTCGAGCCTCGCGGCTCATTTTTTTACAGTTGCCGATTGTCCTCTTCCCAAACTGTCCATTTTTGTTTATAAGCTGACGGAAAATTGGGGAGAATTTACTATATTTACTTAACCAGTATTGTTTTGGAGGACCATAGACGCCATCTTGCAGAGCGTGAAGGAAAATTATTTTAAGGAAAGTACATACACTCGCGCGCGCGCGTACACAAAAGTATTCCAACACTGGTATAACTTTGATTTTTACACGATACAGTTAAATATATATTCTAATTTTACAAATTTCTTCTGATGCACCAATTGAGACGACAAATTATATTTACGCGTGTATTATACACGACTGTTCATCCCCATAAAGTGGATTCGGTCATACAAGTTGCAACAAAAAAAAGAAAAAATACTAAATCGAAAGTTTTCTAGTTTTTAACATCTATATACTCTACTTTAATATATATTTATCTACTATATATTTAATAATATTTATTGTAGAATATACTTTCCATCGTTACTTATGACTTCTTACCAGCGTGATGGCAACTTGTAAATGCCATTTTTAAAAAATGATTTATTTTTAGAGGCGAAGAACTCAACTAGTGCTTGCTTGACATCATCTTCAGTTTTGAATTTTTTCCTGTAAAAAGTTTTACAAAGAGAGAAACAAGTGATAATCGGAGGGTGCTAGGTCTGGGGAGTATGGTGCATGTGACAGAATTTCCCAGCCTAGCTCTGCGATTTTCTGACGAGTCGCCAAAGCAGCATGTGGTCTGGCATCATCATCGGTAGCCATGTTTTCACGATCGCGTCTCACTTAATAATGACATGAGACATCTTTGTTTCAGTTTATTTAGGAGAGTACATGTGTGTAAATGCAATGATAAAGAGAGATAGTCATACATGTCTCAAATCAACATGTGCATATGGATTGAAACTTGAAGTGACACTATCGGACAGAACTTTCCGGTAGACCTAATAGAT